AATCGCCGGAATAAACATGTGGCCGGGCGGGCGGGGGCGGTGGGGGAAACGCTCCCGCTCGGTATCCGTGCCCCCCTCCCTGCTCTGGCTGAGGAAAAGGCATTTCCCCCAACCCTCCACCCCTCTCGCCTCTCTGTATGGAAATCACGAGGCGGCTCGGTGGAAAAAATCCCCCTTTTCCTGGGATAGTGGCTCCGGCGTGTGCGCTGCATGCCAAGGTGTGTGTGGCAGGGGGAGGCAGCGCCAGCATTCGCTCCCCATCCGTGCCCCCACCCGCGGTCCCTCGCGTACACATGCGTGCTGCCAAGCGGGCGCCTGTGTGTAGCCAAAACCCACCTATTTACATACGTGGAGTTAGGCTGAGAGCTTGGTGTTAGCAAACTGAAAGCCAGTCCCTGTCGGGAAACAACCTGCAGATCAACGAGCAGCTTTGGCATCGGGATGCAGGAGTCGGGCAGCCTGGCCGTGCTTGCATCACGCTTCCCGGGATCAGCAAGCAAAGGGACCGGAGAGATGTATACGGTTATACGCACACATGATGCATGCATGGCGCGCTGCGGGGTGGCCACCGCTGTTACACAAGCATTTGTGCATTGGACCATGTGTGGGCTCTTCAAAAGAGACCATCATTTTTGCCGAATTTTTTCCTCTGAGAAGGTTTTTGCCTTCTCCCAGGCATCTCTCGAAGCGCTGGTGTGAAGTGTTTGCGTGAATTTGCCAGTCTGGCAGTTTTATGTTTTCCTAATCTTTTGTGAGAGGTTCAGCGACTGCAGAAACATGACTTCTCTAGCATCACATTGGTTCCTTCTTGTCAGCACCTTTTAGTTATTTTTATATTAAAGAATTATAGTGATTTGCTTTTAGTAATGATCTAGCCTTTTTTTTATGGGGGAGGGAGAAGAAGGGGTGGAGGGAGGATGCTATTGTTAGTGCAGAAAGAAAAAACGGTGTTCCTTGCAAGTGTAGTTGCTGTTAAATATGTAGGCATATGTATGATTCATTATGCAGTTATAAAAACGAAAGGCACGCCAGATTGCCTCTTTGCCTCAGAATATACTTTCTTTTACAGCAACAAGTAGTATAGGCTTCTCTTCCCCCTCTTCTCTCCCCCTCCCGCCTTCAATCCATCCTGACAAAATGCCAGTAAGAAAGGTCAGTCTGTTTATGTAAAGATCACTGTTTCTTAACAAAGACTGCTGCACATCTTGCCTGCAATGACTATCAAATAGACTTTTGGATTCAAGATATTCAGTAAGAGTATTGCCCATTTTCTAGGACTGATAAAGTCCCAGAGAAAGTGCAAGACAAAACCAGAGACACAGCTTTGTGAATGGGAGTCATCAGTAGCGCCAGGATGTGCACGCGCAGCAATATCTTTACTTGGTAATAGTATTTGCTCCTACAAATGCTAGCAAGATCCAGTGGATTTTTTCTTTTAATATAGAGAGACTTGCTGATATACTAATGCTTTTCTGCTCTTCTCTTTAGGTTTCACGCTGGCAGCAATGGTGGCCTAGGCTGAACTTGTTCTGCAGCCGCTTCGCACTGAAGATAGATTAAATAGCCCGAGGAGAACTTCATTTTGAGTCTGATCAACTCTTCTCTCACCCCCACTCCCCCAAAAAGGAGATGTTTGTATTGACTTCACTAGACTTTGGCTTAGACCCTACACAATTAGGTTCAGTTTTCATTTTGTAGTATCTCAAGGAGCAGTGAACACTGCCTGATCTATATTTCACAGTACTCCCTTTCCCTTCCTGCCAACTGCTTTAACCTGGAAAGCAGTGCAACTTTGTTTTCTCGGTATCACCTCTTCTGGCCTTTTTCCTGCTTTAAATGTAATGAGGATATTCTGATGTAGTTCATCTTCATGCATATATTCTATACCTAAAGGGAGAAAAAAAGTTATAGAGTTTACATGTATCTTCCGTTGTGGCCAGGTCCAAGAATCGGTTGTCACTACAGTTTCATTTTAGCCCTTAAAATAATCCTTAAGCAGAATTCAAGTGTTGCAGAGGGCTTTTTCAGGCCTTTTGTTCAATGCTCTTAATACTCCATTACCCTAATGTAAATATTACAAAACCTAGGGCAAAACACTGAAACTGCAAGCAATGGACCTAAGAGCACATGACTGGTACAAGAACTGATAGCACCCATTGAAAATCCTGCATTCAAGCTGAGGACCCAGTCTCAGCTGAGGAGCTGCACAGCATCACGTGAGAGGGGAGAGGCACATCACATCAGCCAGTCTTAAAAGCCTGGTGGCCCTCAAATACTGGTCATCAGAACCTGTAAATCTGCATTAAAGCGTGGTGTGTATCTGTGGGAGTCAAAGCACACCGTAACAGAGCGTCCATAACAATGTTTGGACTTTGGGTAATCAACCTTTTGACACTCTTT